CTCGTTCATTCATTAACCCGCTTCCTTTTCCTCGCTTTTCCTCTTGGCGTTCAAGAGTCAATTTTGATCGGGATCTCCTGAAATCGCTGCCAATGCCATCCGATGTCTCCACACAATCAGAGAATGTTGTCGCGAGCTAATATTAACCCGTTAATACTCGCGCCGCAAGCACACGTTGCGTGAAACTAAAATAGCATTTATACAGAACGATCGTGAAATCCGATTTCGTTATTATAAATAAACGTCGCAGCATTAACGTAAATCGGTAAAAAATAAAAAATTAAGTTTGTTAATGAAAAAAATTAATTATTCTAACAATTTGATATTTATTTGAATCTTTTTTTCTTTAAATTAAAGAGTAAAATAAAAAAAACAATAGAAAAAAGTTTACAAAATTAATTATTTTCTTAATTTACTTGTATATATCTTTAATATGAAAATACTATAAAAAGTATATAACATAACAGTAAATATATATAAATAAAAAAAAGTAACTAGAAATATAAATAACAAAAATATAGATAAGAAATATAATTTTGTGTATGTGTTACACGATTATTATTAAAAGTAGAAAACTTAAGAAGATAAAGAAAGTTTGCCACTTTCTGGTCAATTTTCTGAGAAAGCGACCGACAGGGAATTATCTAGTTTAATTAACTGTGCACATCTTAATTAACTGTACTGTGATTAATATAATAACTGAGCATGGCTCGCGAGAAAATTAGCGCGCGATGCAGTCACCGGGGTGTAATCATCGTTGACATTGATCGGCGATAGAGCCGTAACTCTACGAAGATATAGACTTCAAAGACAATCTTAAGCACCTAAGCAAACGCACGACAAACGCACTTCCCGTATCATATAATCGCGCTGTTGTTGCACGTGTGAGTTTCGTCATCGCACAATAACTAGCAAGGATTTAAATGAGTTAGCTGAAAAATGCATAATTTTATTGGACCATCAAAATAATTAAATAGGACACTCAAACTGATTATTAGAATGTCAAAACTTTTTGTAACATTGCTCGTCATGCTTCACATTTATACGTAATTAATTTGATTTCAACAAAATTATTTTCAAATCTATATTTATATAGCTAAATTTTCAAATACTTTAGCAAAATTGTTCTTTCCGTGCATCTAACCAGATTCTTCTTAAGAGATTGATATTCCCTGATAGATCTTGAGAAGACCCGACAAATCTAATCAGACTTTAATATAATTTCTAATTTAATATTAGGCTGCCCCGAACTGAAAATTGATAACGTTTCTACAATATATAAGAAATTGAGACTTTTTTATATTCACTGTTATTAAAAGATAACACAAAATAATTTTACGTGGAATAATTGTGAAATTATTATTACGAGATAATACAGAATTATCTAAAATAGTAATTTTACAATTATTATCTTACGTAATGTGTAATTGTCACTTAACATTCAAAGATTCTTTTTCATAAAAATTCACTTTCAAAACAATATACATCCTGAATTTTATGCGATAAGTTAATGATTCTGATATCGTCCGATATCTAGAAAGATAATTGATAAGCAAAGGAAAAATCTCACGGATCTCAATTAATGACTTTCCAATTTTTTAACGCAAAGTTTGTTTTCTTTCATCGTGACGCAAAGAATTGCTCCTAATCATAGACAAAATATATCTATGCTGCCAATCGAGTGCAGAAGGACAGAGGGGATTGATTGAGATGCGTTTTTTCAATTGATAACACACGGCCATCTTCATCGATAAAAGGCGTATCGCGTATGCCCGGTGGCCTTTTTGCATCCTCATTAAGGCGGAGAAAGGCGTGCTTGTGGGCGCGCGAAGCGTCTTTTCTTGGCGACGCGCATAAAAAGCTCTTTTCTCTGCACCCAGTGTATCCCTCGCGTGCATGAAGATCGATTCAGGTTGCGCGCCCAACATTATTACGCAGCCGGAAAGTGTAGCAAACACTCATTCCCTTATCTGACGGAATTGGGAGTGGTTCCTCGAAGTATACCGATACCCGGAACGCGACGCTTCTCGCTTTTTGATCATTTAATTTTAACGATAGATTTTTCGACGAAGCTGAAAACATTTTCAGGGAAGCTATCGATCGAAACTGGTAAATATTTTACACTAAATGTATCGATAATGAAAGAGTTACAGAAATTTGTGATTAAAAGTTTTAGCATCTCGGAGAAAAACGATGAGTATATGGTTCATAATTTATAAGGTCCATTTTAGATACGATTTTTGGAATTTATTGGCTTTCATCTCGTTCTCTTTTATTAAATTCCTTCGATTCTAAAAAACCTCATCCAATTTTTAATGAACAGTTGAGTGTTTTTCACGGAATATATTTTATCATAACAATTTCTACAATTCCTACAATGCAAGTAAAGTTTGAAATTTTAACAAATCCACATTTATGACATTTCTCTCTTTCTATCGATATAAATTTTCTATGTATTTTACAATACTATCCAAAAAGAGTTAAATGCTCCAGTTCGAACTTTACTCATTTCTCAATTTATCTGTCAATTAGGATATTTTATGAGATAATTTATATATACTATATTATATTATACCTATCAGGATATATTTTATGTTATATATTATATATTACTCCATATATACGCATCACGTGTATTGTTCAAAGCAGTTAAAAGGTCATATTGCACTGTTAAATCCATAATGTCAAATTATATCCAATTTAAGTTATTTTTAGTCATTTCATTTCTATAGGTCGCTATTGCTCCTACGCACTATATCATTAATTTGACTAAAACAATAGAGTTAAACAATTTAACTCAAGAAACTGCATTGACTCAAATTTGATTTATTATTTACTATATACATTAATATGGATGATGTTTATTTTGAAACTAACCACAGAAATAGATTTGCATTTTGACATACATATATAGAAGTTAAAAATAAGAAAATGTTATTTAAAATTCAAGAAATTAGGTTGCCATTGCTCCTTTGATATCTAATAGTATATGCCTAATAAATGCCTTATCGTTTATATTATGTTATATTTAAAAGTTATTAAGCGATTAAGTTTCTCCGCCAGTGTTCTATATTTCTGATGATTCATCTTGGAAGCCCGCAATCGTGATTTTTCTCCAAGCTTCAATTTGGAGGAAGAAAACGAAAGATCTCGAATGACACTCCTAATGCAATGCGATATTATTATTACCCCGCCGTTTGGGAGTGATATTCGTAAGTCCCCCCCCCCGCCCCCCCCCCCCCCGCCAGCAACAGCATCAGCGCCAGCACCACCGCCGCCCGGTGCCGCCGTCGCCGCCGCCTGCGCCGCCGCCGCGCCGGCAGCAACCCCTCTCCCTCCACTTGCATCTAGCCGGCATAATCACCCCGCCGTTTCCCAGAAGCGGGCAATCTTCCCGCGACTCGCGAGACGCAAAGTCATAAATGTGTCGAGCTAGAAGCTGATATCAGAATTTGTATATATATTATATGTAGAGAAGAAGGTGCAGATATTATGGCGTCCCATTTACGTTTTATACAATAACTTGATTAATAATAAATATTTAAATTCGCCAAAGCGTGTTGTTCAATCGATTCTAGAACTCAAAAAGTTACGAAACATTTATTTAGATACTTAACATACTGTTTGTAAAAATAGGGATGGTAATGTAGCCTTCCACAAATATAGATTTAAAAAATTAGTTTTGTTTAAAAAATAATATTTGTGTTACAAACAAGAAAGTAAAATATTGCAGAATTGTATGCAAATGTATATGTATATATGTACACATACTTCTTCCGCATAGAATTGTTCAGTACTAAAAATCTATAATATATATATGTAATATAAACTATAGGTTATAACAGTAGAGCTACAATCGATTTATGGAATAATTTGATATGAAAATCTCGAAAAAGAGATCAACAATCAACATGTACAGGAGGCCACATTAGCAAAATGCCATGCTATTGTTTAACTTATTCGCATGTATACAAGTAAAATGTTAAATAACAAACAACACACTCAAGTATACATATATTCGTATAATAGTACGCTTAAATTTAAGAAGAATGGAAAAGTAGGTAATTAAATGTACCTTAATCTATATTAGCCGTAATATCATCTTTTCTTTTATATAGTGGAACTTTTTAAATTTTATATGCGTGTACGCATACATGTTGTTAATTTGCAATATTTTGTTGTGTTATGCCGATTAAATGAAAATAATTAAGCCAGCGGTGCTTGTTTTTCTGCTGGATTGCTTGATTAGATAGTGCAGTCAGCATTGTCAGCACCGCAGCCAATACACTGGCAAAATTCTAATTCAATTAGCAATCCAGTAAGAAAACAAGCAAGCATTATGTGCCGTTGGTTTTAATCTTAATAATGAACAGTATATTGTATTGTTAGATATCAAAGAAATTATGGTAATACAATCTTTTGAGTTAACACATTTTATTATTTTTAACACATTTTATTGTAATATTTTTAACTTACATTTGAATCAAAATGTAAATCAATTCATTTTGTGGCTAACTTTCAAAGTAAATAACGTCCACATTAATGTATGTACTTAGTAAATAATGAACTAAATTCAAGTCAAATTTAATACATTTGCTTGAATTAAATTGTTTAACTCCATTGTTTTATTTAAATTAATGTCATATTGCGTAGGAGCAGTGGCGACCCATAGAAGTAATTAAAAATAACTCAAATTGAGTATAATTTGACGTAATAAGTTTAACAATGTGTCTCTCTATATTTTGGTATCATCTGTCTTCTTTATTATAATAATTTGAAAACGGCACTGACCGAAAAGTTATATACTATATCTAAATAATTTGTTAATTATTTACTATAATTTAATCGCTAGAAATTTTGCGCTTCGTTATCTTATATAAAAGTTTTAAATACGTCCGGTCGGAAATCTCGGCATAGTATCTCGCTCCCCAAAAGAGAAAAACCGTTACTTATTTATTTATTTTAACAGCGAGCTAATGAAGACCGAAACTTTGTCACAGGAACCGGCGAGTCGGGCAAGTCCACCTTCATTAAGCAGATGAGGATTATCCATGGCTCCGGCTACTCGGACGAGGATAAGAGGGGATTTATCAAACTTGTGTACCAAAACATTTTTATGGCGATGCAGTCCATGATCCGGGCGATGGACCTCCTGAAGATCCAGTATGGCGATTCCTCGAATATAGTGCGTATCATTCACAATTTTATCGATTGCTCATAATTAATAGGTCTATGCAAAGAAAATCTTTGAATTTTACAGCAGCAATAAATAAATATCGCAAATTGCATCACACGTATATTTTAACAAAATGAAAAAATTACAAAAAATATATATTAAAGTTTTTTCTGTTATATTTAAAATAATACAAAAGTTTGACGATTTAGAATATAATATCTGGTTAAAATATTATTTCAGTTAAAAGTAGACGTGTTTCAAGATAAAATGAGAAAATTTTCATTTAAACTATAAAATTGTATTGTTAAATATAGATATTGACTTTATTGAACTATTTCATATGTATATAACGTTCATTTTTGTACAGAAAATATAAATTTCTACGGCATTTTCGAAATTGGAGTGACACTAGATGTAAATTTACAGTTTTATTGCAGTGTCTTTATTGAGAAAAATGTTCTCGTTGTTTACCAACAAGAAGTACAAAAAAATGAATTCTGATTCTATCAATCAGAATTTTAGTTATCGTAATTGAATTTCTAATTATATCGTGTGCTTAGAATGTTTAATAAATTTAATTACAAGTATCTGATTTGTACCTTTCTGATTGAATCTCTAATCGAATCAGAATTTTTTCCAATTAGTGTGATATAATTTTTTTCCAGAGCTGGTAAAAATATTACACTTCACATTATAATTTTTGCTTTCTTTAATTAATGTACTGATCCTATCACGTGTTATTTAATTTAACGCGGTTCCGAGATATATATCTGATGTACACATCAGATATACCAAATGCTTTAAATCTGCTATTGCGATCGTATGCAGGTCAGACTTCGCGTTAAAAGGTTAATTAAAGCGTTAACTGTGCTGCACATGAGAAGGTTAACGATAATTTCATATCGCATACTTGATATCGGACATGTTGATATGTCAAACCGGAAACTCATAAATTGTACGTTGTAATTTCGCTTTATCATTTCCCTATAGGTTCATACGTTTTTTCTTCCTCTTCCTTTCAGGAAAAAGCGGAATTGGTGCGGAGCGTCGACTTTGAAACGGTGACGACGTTCGAGAGCCCGTACGTGGGGGCAATCAAGGACCTGTGGGCGGACGCGGGTATACAGGAGTGCTACGATCGTAGACGGGAATACCAGCTCACGGACTCCGCCAAGTAGTAAGTATTTCGACTGTATACTACGCCTTTTTGTCGCGGAACTGATGCTTGTCCACGTGTTTTACCGAGAAATTATCCTCCCGTTCATCCATCTATAACATCCTCAATTTCCTCACCGAAAAAACTTATGTAACAGGACGACTCAACACTAATCTTTCTCTCATTGATTCGTTTTCAACAAATTGAAGATTTTTCTCTTGAGAAAAGCATCAAGACTCGTGACTTCTGCGTTCTTACAAACAAATTTTATCTTATCAATTCGTCTGTACAATTCCGATCAAGCGAAAGGAAACATTAAATTAACAACAAATATTTTTTATCGGGACTGTGTACGATACATATGAAAATACTTTGTATCTTCCGCCTCCAGAACACACACACACGCAAACATATCCAAACAATTCCTTTCCAAAAGGGCTTGGGTCAGTTTTTAATAAAGACTGCCTTTTAACATATAATATATGTAGGAATATATTTCCGTCCATTTTCTCTCTGAAGAAAAAGAGAATGATAGTTGACTTAAGGCCTTTCAATAAGCTCTTCATTTTCAAAGATTTTACTGAGACTTGTCTCTGAATCTTGTCTAAACACGTGTCTACCTCATCCTTCTTGCATTTGCGTTTCGAAGCAATGCTTCTGATATTCACGCGCGCACAGGACACGATTTAATTCTCTCACGGTGACTTTACTTCCTTCCTCTCCTCTTTTCCTCTTTCCTGTACATCACGTATTGAGAACACGATGTTTCAGTTACCTAATGGAGATAGATCGAGTCGCGGCACCAAACTACCTCCCCACAGAACAGGACATTCTTCGTGTGAGAGTGCCCACCACCGGTATAATTGAATATCCCTTTGACTTGGAAGAGATCCGATTTAGGTATGTGGTCGACCGATGAAGATGATGAAAGAAGGAGAGAGCTGCCTGCGCCTGCAAAACCACCTGCATCGGGCCGTTTCTGCATTATTTTTGTCTTCTATAACTTGTTCGTTGCACCTAGGATTCGTTGTTCAATTAAATGTTCACCTATCCCCCGTTCCATGCAATGCTGTTTAAACCTGTGACTTTCTTCTGTTAAATATAAACAAAACTGACGACAAGATTTTTTAATTCACTAAAATCTGTAGTCGCGTTCATTACCATATTAGATGTGATCGAATTGACTTAATTGTATAGATGAAAATGAAAAATTTTTTTGCTTCATAAAGATCAAAAACAAATCTATAGCAGACTATAGTTTCTTTTCTTTGGTAGCTAATGTGTTGATAAAAATTACAACTGCGTAATTACTTTATATGTGATATTTAATTTAATTTTATCTTTTATTTGAAATCTATATATATATATATATATATATATATATATATATATACACGAATACAATTAACTTTATTATTTCATTTTATTTCATTTATTTGTGCATCAATTACAAAATAAAATAAACAAAACAGACAACAGATTTAAGCGAGAAAAGTTAGGTATACAGGTACTATCTTTAGTGTACTATCTTCTGTTTTAAAGAAATCTGCATGATTTCGTGTACAAACTTCATATCTTGAAAACAAAAGTATATCATAAAAGATAAAGTAAATCTCAAGACACGCCATCGACGTTAAAAAAATTCTTTCAGGCTAAACCAATGGACAAGCATGTGTGAGAATTGTTTTATATGACATTTTCTTGTTTTATGATTATTTATATTTAAATATATATATTTTTTAAATGTACCACGCATGGCATGCACTTCCAGACAGCAGCTTTTTGTTTCGTTTTGCAGTTATCTTAGTGATCTAGAGCGTATTGAAAAGCCTGATTTCCTTCCGACCGAGCAAGACATCCTCCGGGCACGAGCTCCCACCACCGGAATTATAGAATATCCATTTGATCTGGACTCCATCGTATTTAGGTACTAATAGTCTTTCAATCCGATTCTATACCTTCGATCGTGCACTCGAGTTTTTCGCAAGATATCTTTATACATAGAAAGCAATGGACTACTTAAACTATTTTCTTTTTCTTATTGAAATGAGTTTGAATTAATTTTTTTGATGAATTTAAAGTAGATTGTTTTCTTAGTACGAATATCGTGTAGTTTTAATTATTCCTAAATTATGATCACTTAGAATAGAAGATCTAGATTAATAAAAAATGTAGAAAAATACATTTTAAGGAATTTAATTTCTGAAAATATAAAAGTATATGTATAATTTATTTCGTATGTCGATCGCTTCAGTAGAACTTTAATTTGATTGTTAATAAAATTATTAAAAATATTTAATGTTATTTGCTACACAAAAATTGGAATATAATTTAACATTCATTTAAATAATTTTATGATATATCCTTTGTTTCATTTTTCTGAGAAAGGAGAAGGATGAACATGAGTTTTTTTATATACATATATACATATATAATTATATATAATATATATGTATATAATTTTATAATTATTTTGAAGAAGCTTTGACGTTTGCATGCCTTTTTACGTGTTTTACGTTTTTATTAGCCTGTTCAATTAAATGGGTATACATAAGCGAATGAACAGCAAACGCAACAATAAATTTATTTAAAACTTTCTTTATTGTGCTGTATCTTATGAGCGGATTAAATTAAACATTAACGAATGTGCTGTTATACATTTATTGTGGCGTGAATAATTTTCTATACAGCATATTTTCAACAGCTTAAATTTACATTCGCTGTTCGTTCGCTATCTTTGTTCAGTGTACAGTTACAATAATGCTACTGCATGCGGTGAACTTTATATTAATATTACTTATAATTATGTAGTTGCGATTGAGAATAATAGATATGTATTCATTTATGAATGTATTAGTATAATTAGATGTTTTGCGGATTTTATATATATATATATATATATATATATATAGTAAATCAAAATGAATTAGGTAAAAAACTACTTATTTATTTTATATAGATCATTAATAAAATTGAGAATTTATAAATTTTTAAAAAATTTGTAATTATAATTTATATATACATATAATAGTCATAGTACATATACATATAATAGTCTATTTTTTAAATTTAATATAACTAATTTAAATTTATATTTTGATTTTAAATCTTCAAGCACAGAGAAACTTTTTTAAAAATAAGTGTCAATTTTGAATCACGTATATAATAAATGAAAAAAGATATAAAAATTTTATATATTTTATTTGCATTTTTATTGCAAACTACAAATTCCTACAAGATCTTGAAAACATATGAAAGATGAAGAGCACAGCACAGTAGTAGACACATAGGTCACAATGGCGACACATTGCATTTGATTCACTGAATTTGTTGAGATTTAAGGACCTACTCGTCTTATGACCCGATTCGTCCTATGTATTTTTTAATATTGAAAAGCGTGTAGAGATCATATTCGATAGACTATATTTTTTGGTAGTTAGGAAAATTATGTAGCTGAATCTTCATATTCTTTTCCTCTTGTGCTGTTTTCGAAAATATTTTAAAATAATCTTTTTCATATATGTACACTGAAAGAAAAGATTGGTTGCTGCAACAATTTAGATAGTAAAATGTGGCATAGCATTTTTAATCGGCTGCAGCAACCAGATTTTGGTTGTAGCAGCAAATTTTTAGTTGCGTTAGCCTATTCGCAATGTCAGTATATGATTTCGATAGGAACGCAATCAAAAATTTGCTGCTACAACCAAAAACTGGTTGCTGCAGTCGATTAAAAATGCTATACCATAATTTTACTATCTAAATTGTTGCAACAACTAATCTTTTCTTTCGGTGTATGTAATAATCTTTTAAAATACATTTATTCCATACATTTCTATATTGATTATTATTAATCATCCTAAATCAAAAATATGAAGATTCGACTATATTTCATTTGCACACTAGTAACAATGCTCAATTTAATAGAATGTTATTTGCAGGATGGTAGACGTCGGTGGGCAGAGGTCGGAAAGAAGAAAGTGGATCCATTGTTTCGAAAACGTCACTTCAATTATATTTTTAGTAGCTCTAAGTGAATATGATCAAATTCTATTTGAATCGGAAAACGAGGTAATTATAATATTTTTTATAAGATATACAGAAATTATCGATAAATTTGAATGATATTACAACTCATTTGTGTGTATGATTCCTTTTAGAATCGAATGGAAGAAAGTAAAGCACTGTTCAAAACGATTATAACATATCCCTGGTTTCAACACTCCTCTGTTATCCTGTTTCTCAACAAGAAAGATCTGTTAGAAGAAAAGATTATGTACTCTCATCTTGTCGACTATTTTCCGGAATATGATGGTAAGTGGTAATATCTTCCTTTTTTATAAATATCCACGGATTATCATTAATCATTCGGTATAAAATGCTAACTGCCTTGTTGTTAATTTAGTCAGACAACATCTTATCTCATACTTGGAAGTAAAAATAAACTCTGAACATAAGATGTTTGTTAAGAGATAAAGATATATTTGAAGTTATATTGTTTTAATACTCTCAAAGAAATTAAAACAAAGTATTAATCGATATTTATTAAATTATTAATTTATCTCAAGATACACAGGCTGAATAAAATGCGATAAAATTATTTATCTCAATATTGGTAAATAAATAAGTTCTATGGTATAGGCCCGAAACAACAAGACGTACCAGCCAGGGAGTTCATCTTAAAGGTGTATCTCAATTGTAATCCCGATCCTGACCGAATGTGCTACTCTCACTTTACGTGTGCGACAGGTCTGTCCGAGTACTGAGTGTATCCTGAGCAGAAAACGTAGAATCCCTAGTTATTTGTCGAACGATTTAATAATATGAAATATTTAATAATATTTCGTGCGATTTTCATGCTCTTTTTTTGTAACTTTGCCGCTCCGATGTTTCTGAATTCGCGTTTATTATTAGTGGTAATCTATTTGCAAGGCTATTTTAATACATACCAAACCTGTATCCACACTTCTGCGCATAATTTATGATAATCAGTAGTACGTATTTTTGATACAAAATTAACTTTTATGTAGATTGAAGCTAGTTAATCTAATAGCAATAATCAGAACACTCGTCACATTCTGTGTTGTAATTTATAATTTTGTCATGTCATTAATTACTGAACATTTAATGCAAATTACGTCGGCATACTAAAATTTAAAAAATATTTATTTAGCAAAAGTTACATTAAACTGAAATTTTTCGACAATAATAAACGATTAATGAAATTTTTATTCGTGATAAAGGACTTTTAGATTTTATTACGAACTACAACGTGTAAGCAATTGTTTCGAATTTGCAAAATTATACTCACTGTTCTTACATAAGCTCTCTAGCTTATTAATGAGGCTTTCGAAAGGCTTCTTTGATGTTCACTACGACTAATTTAATAAGCTGTCCTTGGAGAGTGTATATTGGATTTGAGTGGAGTACAACATTATTACATTAAATTAGATCGATATCCGTCTGCGTTTCGCGTTATATTGTGCATATAAGTAAAACCGATGTTGAGCGATGATATTTCCTGGATGTAGATTCATTCCTATCTTGTAAAATACTTAGAAATCCCATAACACGGAAGACTTACCCAAATTCTAGCTTACATCTTGTCGTATTTACACCTGGCAAAAATCTCAACGATATATATCAATTAATCCTCTCGTTGTTAAATGATCGCTAAAAAAATACTGACTACGCAGTACATAATCGCTTTGTAGATAAAGATAGAAGTAATGCCATGCCCCTTCCTCGCTTGTGTACTTCGCAGGTCGACAGAGAGACGCTCTCGCAGCTAGAGAATTCATTCTAAGGATGTTCGTTGACTTAAATCCGGACAGCGAGAAGATTATTTATTCCCACTTTACGTGTGCCACAGGTAGGCTAGTTTCTTGATAACTCCCGTGTACAAAAATACCATATTTCTTTCGCTTTATAACAGTTCTTCGATGTGTTGTGTCTTGTACAGAGCTTGTATGTTGCCTGCCTCCCGTATAATCAGGTGTGTAATCAAATGTTATAAATGTACCACGGAAAATCAACCTGCATGTATGAAAGGCATCTTTTTTCAAAGAGAGCGAAAGAATAGCACAAATAATGTATTAGTTGTCTTTAACGTAACAATTCTAATCTTTCAAATTTATTTGGTTTAATTTACACTTAATATAAATATTATTTATATAGTATATATAATTTTATAGATATTGTATATATGTATATATTTCTCAGTGTTTACTGATTTATTGAATTATTACGAAATATTAGAAGAAAATAGTACAATAATGTAAATATCGATACATACAGTATCGGGTTGATTTTTCAAAGGTATAGAACGGTGCTGACTAATCTCAATGATGCCTGATTTATATTTTGCATGCTGCGTTCATGGAATTAACCATCAGATACGGAAAACATCAAGCTTGTATTCTGCGCTGTTAAGGATACGATCATGCAAACCGCGCTTAAGGAGTTTAATCTTGCTTAACGCGACTGTATAGATATTATTAATTAGCAGATTCTTGACGATATTATTTAATATTTAGACGCCGAGAATGACGTAGAACATATTGTATATACAATAGATTTATAACAAAACTTAGTATAATTCCAATCAACGAATATTATAAAAGTGGCCAAATAGTAAAGCGATTGCTTGACAGATGTTATTGCATATTTGTCAAATATTATCATATGTTGCTTTTTAATATTTATTCCGGAACTTAAATCTGTGTCATTCTAGGCGATTAGTCAACTGTGAATAATTTTACTTTTGAAAACTTCGAAAATAACTGCCAGCTTTACCGTTGACAACAACAATATACGTGTGTTAAGTAAAAAATATATTATTAAAGCTCTGTAACCCCTAAATAAAAGGAATATAGCAATTGACATTTATTCTAATAATTGCTAAAATTAATCCATTTCTTGCAACATATTGCATTGCTAATGTACCTTTTTAATAAAGGCTTCTTTCAATATTTTTATTTTGTCTGTTATATTGTCACAGAGTCTGGCAAGAATAGAAATTCCATTATTTATGATTAAAATTATATTTATTTACAAACGCTGCTTATATGAAGATATACAATATTTTTATGATGATTGTAAAATTATTATATGTATATATATGTATATTCATAGAAATACTTAAGATAAATTATTTCACACTTTAATGTGTTTATTCTAATATTTTCAATCTATTTTAACAAAACTAATAATGACTTCTATATAACTAAATATGACCTTTTCAATTTTGCATTATTAATCTTTGATTACTTAAGCTTCTTTAAAACAAGTATTGAAAAAGAAATTATGTTTATGATTTCGTTCTCTCGTAATGCTACAAAAAGTATCTTGAAGGAAATTGCATGCTGCATGTGTGTCATGACTGTCCAGAGAGTTTGAAGCTTCTTTGCTTAGGGTAAGTGCCGATCTCTGTTTTACGCTAATTTTTATGTTAATTCTTTCAAAACAGATCTTTAATGAAAAACATCTTTAATGTTAAAAATCCTGAAGTTATTAAGGATCAATAATTTATTTATACAGCATTCACAACAACTAGCAGAGCATGGTGTGATATATTTTACAAATACATAGTCACATCATTAGTTTTAAGTTTAAATATTCTAAGAATATTTAGCGTATCAAAAGTCTCAAAAGGTTTAAATTACAACGATAAATTAGAGAACTGTCATTTGAGAAGAAAGAAAATAATTCATGGCATGTACCAAACAATGCTTGCAACCAATTAATGTTTCTCTTGAACAAGTTTTAAAGATACATTCTGATATTTGAACATGTGACTTTTCTGTTCTACAGATACGGAGAATATCAGATTCGTGTTCGCGGCGGTAAAGGACACCATTCTACAGTCCAATCTGAAGGAGTACAATCTGGTTTAGACGGCGAAGCGCGCTGCAAATCCGAGCGGACTCGACCAGTTTCTCTCGCACCCTGACCAATGTATCAATGCGAGACTGCTACTCCGTTGACTCGCGAGCGTGATCCGTGGAACGACGTGAGGAACGACGAAGAGAGGCGCGAGACAGAAACGAGATAAACTCGTGGTGCCATCGTATACGCACATATATCGACATGCGTTGCGCCACATTGAACTTCGTCGCATCGAAAGTGTTGTACCAGCACAAGTAGCTAAGACGCGTAATACACACACGTAATTATGAAGGACGTAAAAGCGGAGCGAAGTAAGAAGGCGAACAAGGACCTAAAAGCGTCACGAAAGTTACGCGTTCTTTTTCTTAGCGGAGGAAGAGAGATATGAGAAAATCTCTTCACTGTCGATACCAACTCGCGCGAGTCGATTCGGTTCTCTCGTACACAGGTTCCCGTTTTGGGATTTGTTACCTTTCTTTTGTAGATTAGTTCTTAGTCGATATCGCGGGCAAATACGCCCCATTCCCGGGTCGAGGATGCGTCAATATCTGAGGGTCCCGGGCATCGTTGTCTGACTTTTATATATATAGATATATATGTATATGTATATATATGTATAAAAGTGAAGAAACGCTAGCGAACTATATGTCTCACGCGCGTGAGCGTGGCGCACGGCGCGGCTGTGCCGCGTGGATTTTTAACGGCGTGTCCGTCTGTGTTCGTCTCGAGTCCAAGAGATCTCAACAGAGGAGAAGAAACTGAAGAGGCGAAACGGCGAGGCGAACGAAAAAATAAAATAAAATTTAAAAAACCGGCTTTTTAATCGCGAATTAGATTCGATGACACAAGTGAGAGAAGCAATTCTAGTGCCATTTATTAGTGTGGTGTTGTTGTTTTTCTTTTCTTCTTTCCTTTCTGTTTTCTTCTTGTTCTTATTCTTTTTCTTTTTTCTCAAATTACTAAACGCTAAATTATGAGAACATCCTTCATTTAGAGTTACGCGAAAGCCAAAGTGTTTTTGTTTCTTCCTTTTTATCCATGCCAGAAATGACTCAAAGTTCTTTCTGCATGTGATTCGAATCCATTAAAAATTCATCATATAAATATTGTTATATATAATATATAAAAAGAATGATATAGATTAGAGAGCGTGAGAGAGGGAGAGAGAGAGAAAGAGAGAGAAAGCGAAAAAGAGAAAGAGTGAAAGATATCAGCAACCGTGGCGAAGAGGGAGAGAGGAGGAAGAAAGTAAAAATGAATGCGAGAGAGAGAGGGAGAGAGTGTGGGTGTGTGATTTGAGGGAAACTTTGCGGAAGCGAAAGATACTGTGGGGAATTGCGTCTGTTCGATGTGACTTAGGTAATTAAGGCGCGCGGGAGGAGCCCGCAGATGTCTCTCTCTGCCGTCTCCTCTCTCTGCCGGCTGTGCGTGCGGGTTGTGCGAGGAAAAACTCCAGAATAAAAAGTTCTAATTCGCAAGAACAAATTCCTCGAGAACGAGAAATTCTATCTTGTATAGATAAATTTCTAAAAACAATACATAGTCCCGATAATATTTACAGGAACGAGTAATCTCGTCTCGATTTGTGAAGACAATTTCTTTAAAAACGGGGAATTTCTTATAAATCGAGTCATATTGTTTTTTCGAGGATGAATTTCTTAAGCATGATGAAAAAAGGAGGAGTTTATCGCGATTCTCCCTTCGTCGGGTCCTCGCCCTTCCGACGCAACGGCACAGCCACCGCGCGCAGCCAAGATCATGGGTCCCCTCTCCTCTGGAAGAGAGGGGCTTCATGCCTCTCGCTCGCCCCGTATCCACATTATACTGTGTACGTACGTATGAACTCACTGCCTGCGCTCGGTCATATGTTGGCTAGCGCGCTGCCCGTTGCTCGTACTCTCCGATGGTTCGGTATCTTCTCGAAGCCGCGATTTTCGCCATTTTTCTTCCTTCCCCAATGACACGGGGAAAAGTAAATGAACGAGGAACAAGAGAGGAGATGGTTGATAAAACAAATTAACGTTAAATTTGAGAAATTTAAGAAGAAGCTTTGCAAATTAATGAAATAAAGTAATAAGAAATTCGATAGAGAAAAATTCAAAAGGAAGAGGCAAGAGGTGAGATCGAGATAAGCTTTAATTTTTTTTTCTATTAGAAGATATGAAAAGAACGGAATAGTTAATAACACAGGAAAGAAATAAAATTTCACGAATACGCATGTTGGTGGAAGAGAACGAAAAATTCTCCTCTTTTCGCTTCGCTCGATTTTAAAAGCAAGATCTTTCTAGCATTATCACGAAAAGAGATTTACGATGACGCGTAGAAACCACAAGGAGAAATGACAAGCCGGACCTTGCCAGTTTTTTCGAAGGTGAAAACGCGAGAGGTGATTGAACTCTGCTCACGGTAACGCGACATGTAACGAGATAATTTCCCCGAGTCAAAAGCACTAGGCGTAATCGCGATGAATAGCAAGAGCCGCGCGCGAACCCGGAGAGTACGTCGCGCTGTTAGAGATGATCCTCTCTACGTGACATCGGCCGCGTCTGGGCGGTTTCCCGTTCGGACACAATGCGTGCAGCGGCCCGAACGTCACTAGACTCCGCCGGTGTCGCGCACGCACATACATCGGGCAGTATGTGTCATATACCTTAGTTGTGTCACACCCACCTTGGTTGGAACACTGAGTTTATATGAAAAAAAAAGTATATATATAAATACATTGGATAATATATTATATATTAAGCGGATACAACAAATAATATTGAATAATAACATTAATAATTATAATAATAATTATAATAATTATAATGATAAAATAATAATAATAGTAATAATAATTAATAATAGTAATACTGCTTGGTTTTCATTGAGAGCGCGTGACTAAACGGATGATGGCAGAGAGGGAGGGAGAGATAACGCGTGTGCAGGACACGAAGTGCAAAACGATGCTAGTGAGAAATATTAATGAGTGAATGAGAGAAAAAGAATGTGTGTATATGCGTATGTGCATTATTGTGGTGCGTCTGTGCATATGTATGCGTATTTGTGCAATTGCGTGAGCGTACGCTCATGTAAGAAAAAAGGATAGAGGGGTTGGTGAAAGAGAGAGAGAGAAGAGGCAAGACGGAAAGAAGGCGAGGGAGTGATTTTCATTGTGCGTGCGTGAGAGACACTTTATCAAGAAATAAACATAAAAGGAGATCGGTTGCAACTACTAGGCTTTGTACAACCCTAATCGAGAAACAGGCGAGAAAACGACGTGCAAGAGTCTCCAAGGGGCTGTTAGGTTCATTTGTAAATCATCTCTCGTCAGGAGGTGTAAACCACCCTTCTGGGAGCGTAAAATATGTTGGGTATTCTTTCTCTGTGTATAAAATTGTAAACACCTATCAAACCCAAAATCAATGTTTCTAACTTATTTATAATAAATAATATACATTAATGATAAAAATAAACACAGTTTGTGACAGTAGTATCGACGAGTGTGATGAAAGAAGTCATCCCTCAATTGCAACAATGATCCCTCTTCCGTCCCGCATATTTTCAACGCCAATATCTTATGTGTTGTTTCATTCCGTTTATCTATATTTCTTTAGCCTATATTTCTACAATGTGTTTTTTGTTTCCTGTTTTTTGTTTTTGCTATTTTTTTACATCTTGTCTTTTTGCTTCTTATCCGGTTTTTTGTTTTATGTCACTTGAGATAAAAGTTAACGAGCTTCGAAAGAAACAAGAAATACATAACAAAAAATACAATTATCGAAAACGGTTGCAAAGGAAAAAAAAGCAAAAGGAAAAAGCAAGAAGCAGGAAACAAAGAGCACATATTGTAGAATAGGCTTTTAATCTCTAACAAAAATATGATAGAAAAAACAAGACACATTCGTAAAATAATAAAAATTTTCGAACTCACGAAATTCCTAAAATTTTTGAAATTCTAAATAATGTAACCTTGGTGATTATATTCTGCTGATATTTTATCGATGTCGAATTTAATAGTTTTTTCAAATTTTTGAAGTTTGAAAATCTCCAAGTTTTAAAATCTAAGAAATATGATTCTTAAAATGTTTGTTGATATATGAAAATAGATGTAGAGGATGTAGAGGAATGTGTTTATAAGACAAAATTTTCATATTAATAATGTATAGGTTTTATTATATTTTTCAAAATATATATTATAAACTTATAATGTTATTGATTGCATTTACACGTATATTCTATTATAAAAAAAATTTTGTATAATAATTATTTTGAATATAAAAGAAGAAATACGAAAGATTTCCGACTTTTTTTATAATATAACATATAATGCTCATAACGAAGAATATAGGAGGCATAATAGAAATGTAATAGCAGAAAATTTCTTATATGGAACATATTACATTGGCTGAAAAGTCCCGGGATTTTTAATAAAAACAAGCGTTTTTTGGGCAAAGTTATATTTATTCCTCAACATAGTTGCCTCTGAGGGCGATACACTTGGTATAGCGATTTTCCAACATTTCGATGCCCTTTCTGTAGTACGAAACGTCCAAGCCTTCGAAATACGCCTCGGTTTCCGCGATGACTTCCTCATTCGATCTGAATCTCTTTCCCTGGAGCCACCGTTTGAGGTTTGGGAACAGATAATAGTCGCTGGGGGCCAAGTCTGGAGAATACGGTGAGTGAGCAACCAATTCGAATCGTAATTGGTCCAATTTGGCCATCGCTTTCAAGGTCGTGTGTGACGGTGCGTTATCGTGATGGTACAGAACTTTTTTCTTCGCCATATGGGGCCGTTTTTTCTTTATTTCGTCGTTCAGTTTGTCCAATAACGCTGCATAATACTCTCCCGTAACTGTTCTTCCCTTCTGCAGGTAATCGATGAAGATTATGCCATGCGCATCCCAAAAAACGGAGGCCAGAATCTTCCCGGCCGAGCGTTGGTCTTTTGGCCGCTTTGGTCGGCTTTCGTGGCTTTCCAGCCACTCTGCAGACTGCTTATTGGACTCAGGCGTATGGTAATGGACCCACGTTTCATCCATCGTCACAAAACGTCGAAAAAAGTCTGCTCGATTACGCTGTAACAACGCCAAACCGGCCGTTGAATCATCAACGCGTTGCTGTTTTTGGTCGACGGTCAGCAAACGCGGCACCCATCGCGACGATAGCTTTTTCATCTCCAAAAGATCGTGCAAAATGTATCCCGCCCGTTCTTTTGAGATGCCCACAGCCTCAGCTAACTCGCGCAACTTCACTGTACGATCACTCAAAACGATTCGATGCACTTGCTTTACGATTTCCGCATTCGTAGCCTCTTTTGGCCTTCCAGAGCGAGGTGCGTCTTCGGTGCTTGTACGACCCATTTTAAATTCACTAAACCACCGGTAAACTGTTGTTCTCGAAGGAGCAGATGTGGAATAACATTTCTGCAACCATCGCAATGATTGGTCAGAAGTTTTTCCCATCAAAAAGCAATGTTTGATCAAGATGCGATATTCCTGTTTTTCCATTTTTTTTACGAAGGCGAAAGTCACTCAAACGACTGTAGCTTGTAAACGAATGGACGAAATGTCATGAAACTTCATACATAAACTAGTGACAGATGAGCCTCTCGAAATGAGTCATGTTCATTTTCTAGTGACGCCACCTATTGAAAAATCCCGGGACTTTTCAGCCTATGTAGTATTATGTAACAACATTCCGTAATCAGATAACGTATCTGTTAACAGACATGAATTATCTCTCTTGCCAAAAATATAATATTCTTCGAACGTTTTTAAACATGTAACTTTAAGTTCTCACTTAATACTGCAAAGAATCAAATTTAAATAAAATGTCTGTATGAGAGCCTCCGTAGTTGTCAGTGTGCAAAAAAAAAATATATTTATAAGCCATAAAGCAATAAGATGTAATTCGCAAACAAGTGAAATGTACTTAACTTCGTTGGTAAATACATTTTACTTGTTTACGAATTATATCTTATCATCTTATATTAATATAAATATATTATTTACAAGTTAACAGAGGCTCATATAATTATTTTACTCATATTTAATTTATTCTTGGAACCGCAAAACTATTTTTATTTTTATTTTATCTAAAAGGAACGATGACATAACACAATTTCAATGTTTATAAAGTAATTACGTATACAATAAATCAATTATTATGTTTGAATAATATTGAATGTAATATTTTGCAAAAAAATAATTTTAAAAATCTCTGTATTATTTAGTTAAAATTTACAATTATATATGAATCATTTTGAAAAATTTTTTAATTACAGTAATTATTTCGTGATGAGAGGAATATTTTTTTATCGAGTGTTCATCAAGCATATTAAAGTAGAAAAATATAAACTAGTGCATTCGTATTCCTATCAACTTTATGTAATTAGGTAAATTGCCCTTTAAAAAGTTTATTGATAAATTTAATTAATTTAAATTATTTATTTATTGATAAATTTATTTAAATATTGAACTGCGATTTTCGCAAAATAGGCCACACGGAGATCTTTACCGCGTTTGTCGAACAGCTGAGAGGGTAGAGAATTAAAAGAAGGGAGCAGCTGCACGTGGAGTGCGCATGCACCAGGAGGGGTGAGTATGCCACCACCTGGACAGCGCTTTTGATCCATGTGCGAGAGAAGGATAGCGTGAATCGAAGAGGAAGACAAATTGTGTGAGTGAGAAAAGAATACATGATTGAGAGAGAAACAGATAGATATAAAACAGGACAGAGAGAGCAAAATGGTGAGAAAAAGAAGGAAATTGTGCAAGCTAAAGAAGAACAATTTGCAATGGAGGAAAAGAGAAAGAAAGGAGCAAGAAAGTATGAGAAATAAGGAGAGAAAGAGAAAGACACGGCGTACGTGGAAGAAAAGGACAGAGGTAGGGGGAAGGAAGGAGTGACAATGTGGATCAGAGAAGGGCAGAGAATGTCGGTGGGGGGAAAATTGCGAGATAATAAGAGAAGGACAGAGCGTGGTGGCGGCAAAGAGATAAAGCGAAACGGAAGGAGAGAGATGAGAGAGAGAGAGAGAGAGAGAGAGAGAGAGAGAGAGAGAGACCAAGTACGGAACAAGCACGAAAGAGAGAGAGAAAGGGTGAGGGAGAGGAACAAGAGAGCGGGGGAAACGCGCCAGTGGAGTCGCGGCGCGTTTCCGCGCGGCTATAGTCCTGCGGAAGATCATCGAGAGGACTACACCCTTGCCGCAGTGTGGCGAGGATCAACCCGTATCCGCATATCGCACAACGCGCGCTGCTCCGAAGCGGAGAGGATGAGTCTCATGCTGGACGAGGAGGAGCTCGACGAGTGAGTTCTTGTTCGTGTTCGATAAGGGTCGGAAGGAATTTAATTGGCACCGCCAGGCTCGATGATTCGCTTTGAGGGGTAGTGCTGTCGCACACACGCGCTCGCGTTCCTCGAGGGCGCGCGAAAAAGGGCTGGGCTGGTCACCCGAGTCGATTGCATAGCCGCCCTTTCGCGAGTGCTCCAACGAAAATCGCCACCGCGTTCGCGCTGCAGCTTCAACGGATTTTTTTTAACCAATCGTGAATCTGTATATCAAATTGATTAAATGTGTGTTTTTAACGGCGGGAACATCGAGGATAATCGATTCTAATTTCCCGTGGTCGATACTTTTTATATTAAATCTGTCAAAAACTTTGCTCGCAAATTAAACGCTTCTCTTCGGCCAATTTCTACCAATGTAGATTAACTTTAATCTCGAGTTAATTTACTCTTTATAAGTTTATACGCTAGAG